AAAGGAGGGGCTTCCACTGATCCTCAGCAAATAATGTAAAGTCTTGGGAGCAGCCCCAGGAATGGAAGGTGACAGATGGAGAGATGTAGGCAGAACTGATCTGACTTGTTTCGTTCTGAATGTGGCTACAATTGCTGCTGTTGAAACTTTCGCTTACATGGTAACACCCAGGATTACGTTTCCTGTGGCGCTCTCAGGATGTTTGATTGATCAATGGGGCTTGCAGCCTTCCATGTCCCTAGGGCTTCAGCTGGCCGAGAACAGATTCATTATTTTGCTCTGTTCTCCCCCTCTCTCTGGCCATGTGAAAAGCCACTGCTTTTGGAAAGTCCACAAGCTGTGGCGGCTGTGGCTCTGTCCATGGCCACGCAAGGTCACTCATTCCACACTGGCTAGGCTAGTATCCAAATAACATTTGGCAAGCGGGTCAAGCTAATGGCAGGCTAGCAATAGGCGCTCAGATGCAAGCGGCATTTCAGCGGAGCAATTAGCATTCATCCTAACGGGGACGAGGCAGTGGCTTGTCTGTTCTGAGGTAAACGCACATATGCTTCCATACGCGGATGACAGATTCAGCCAGATATATGTCACAGCATCAATGGGACACTGACATTAGATAATGATCTCCTGGGACTGGATAAATGCCAAGATGAACTAGAAACACATTTGTCATGTTTTCATCGCCTTCTATTTATTGCCAAGAGACAATGTTTCGTTTGCAACCATCAGATACAATCATTCTAGCCTAGCACATTAAAGCGTCTTTTATTCATTTACCCAACTCTTCCTGCAAGCAGCCAGGGTGGAAAATATTTGATTATCCCATTTTAGCTTCACAGCACCTCTGGGAGTTGGTTAAGGAAAGAGTGTGTGACTGCTCTAAGGTCATTCAGTATGCTTGGTGGCTGCGTTGGGGTTCAAACTCAGGTCTCCCCAGTATCATTCCGACACTCTGTCCATGACATCACAATGGCACTCCCCGGCCCATTCACCTGTGCTACCTACTACCCTCATGCTCCACCACTACTCCAGTCCAGGCACCCACTCCCTATTCCCCACTGTGTCCCAGTGCCCCTTATTTTCCTTTTCTTACCTACCCTATGTTTCCAGAAGGCAAGCAAACAACCAGTACAACACTAGCACTGCCCTGGATTCATATACAGCCTCCAAAAGGGCAGCCAGTGTTAAGTGGGCCGTATCCAGGAAACTGTGCTCTCCCGCTCCTTCTATCACACAGCCTACACAGGAAGCTTTACAGATCCAGACCCTAAAAGAGAAAGTTCCATTCCAAAATTACAAGTACAGTTGCATATCTATACTTAAGGCAGAGAGATCAAACCCCATTCTGTACTCTAAACAAGACTTATAAAATCAAGACAATTTGTCCCAAATAATTTTGGCACAGAGAAATTTTAAGATGACCATTATAAACTGGCCGTATTTCAAAATGCCTGCGATACAGCCATTTCATAGGTTTCTCTTGATTTGGAATTTTGTCTTGTTTGGGACCATTTTTGTGTATTCATAACATGTGCTCCATCTTTCTTTTTGCCGTTTAAATGCTTAGAAAAATAATGGAGACTGCAGGGGTCTTGTTTGGTGAACATTCATTGTGTCTCCACAAACATAAGTTTCTCTATATCAGGCCACTATCTAAACAAAAGAAAATAATGACAATGAAAACAACTTTGCCGGATCAGACCACAGGCCTCTCTAGTTCATCAACTTGTTTCTAACAGTGCTCAGCCAGATGCTTATGTGAAACCCCCAACTCAGCTGACGAAGGACAGGGAAAGAGACTGCCTTGCATCCCTCTTTGTGTTTTGTTTAGGATGTGTGCACGGGCATGTAAAGTACATGAGGAAATGAACATGTGTGAGAAAGCTTAGTACATTTGTCACAGTGTTAACTCTTCTCTTACACTGAACATTTAATAAATAAAGAATATGAACAGTTTAATCCAAGGAAACTTTTCTTAAGGCTGTTTGTAAAACAAAGCAAAGATACTCCTCTGCAATGGCAAATATAAGCCAACAGAAGGGTGGACCCTGCCACAGCAATGCCAGCAACCTTCCAGCACCATCATGCATGCTTTCACTGAACATGCAAACATGTGATGAGAACTTCTACGTCTTTCCTTTATCCCTTTCACCTATCAGAGTCCAAGAGTACTGAACCTCTTTCAGCATAAGGGTCGAATTCCAGTTTGGAGAAGTTCTTGGGGGTTGCACTCCTGGGGGTGTGTGAGATCAAGGGCAGGAGGGCCAGGGCCAAGATACTGGATTGTTTGGCTTACTATCAGCAGCTAAGTCTTGGGAGAAGCTTTTCAAATGCTCAGAATAGGGGGATAAACTGTGCAATGCCAGGACATCACCGGGGAAAAGGGGTGCGGCCAGTGAAAGAGTGCATGGCCATGTGGGGAGTGCTACATTTGACTCCCAGTCCTGAGGTTCTGCAGTCTTGCCCCAGTTTCTCCCAGACTTGCAAACTGTGGTGTAAGGATAATTATCTTTAATTAATAAGAAGCAATCATACCAACTGGAAAACATTTCTTTTAATTTTCCTATCTAATTTTGTTGGAATATTGATATTCTGTTTCTGAGTTAGAAAGTCTTATTTTTATATATTGCAGAACATGACATCCTCTTTTATTTAAACGATCCTTTTATTTCCCCCTCAAATATCTCTTTTATATAATAGAATTTATTTTATGACACTAGATGAGTTCCAGAAGTGCACACTACATTCCTGTGACTCTATAAATTTTTGATATATTTTCTAATCAATAGTGCATGCATCACTTTGTGCTAAAGTTAGGTATCCCCGAGCTGTATTTTCCAGTATTTGATGTCACTGCTTCAGGTTCTGTTCTCAGTTACAGCAGCATAAATCCAGAAGGAAATTAGACCACATGTGTATTAAGCTGAATACAGACTGGCATATTCAATCTTTATCAGTACTATGTCAACTGCATTGAAACTGTGAACACTACCTAATCTCCATTATTGCATCCACACATACCCCACCCCAGCTTCTTTTAGAACTGGGTTTGCTCATTTCTTACCAGCAAATTAAGTAAAGAGAAATGCGTTAACTATACTGTAAGTAGCTTAGACAGATGCCTTTGGTTGTATTGTCATTTAATTCAATGTTATACCAATCAAAAACAGGTATGTGCTAAATACAACTGCCTTGTATTCGCTCAAATAGCGCTTCTAATTTCTACTCAGGTGCTTTGTCTCTAATTACAGACTTGCTTGCTTTTGGTTTGCAGCCTTCAAACCCTGAGGAAAAGCAGAGAAAAGCTCATGCACCATAGCAATCCCTACACACCTGTTGCTAAGTGACAGTCTCACAATAAACATAGGTATAAATATGAACAGTTATGGACAATATCTGAAATCAGGATAATTTGATGCAAATTAAGTATGTGCCAGCATTTGAAACTCTATATGTACATTGAAGGAAGGCATTTCTGATTTAAGCTGGAGCCACATGCGTAAACACAAAATGGCAACATCTGGTTTGCAACAAAGCAAGGTTTAAACATTTCACTGCAAAGATATTTCAAGGAGGAAAAACCAAACAAACAGGTTAGTTTGGATCCAAACTTAGCCCTGCTTGCAAGAAGTCACCAGAAATGGACTAGCCATAACTAACTTGTCCACTTGATTACAGGGAGTTTACTCTAAATGTGAGTAAGCTGGGATCCATTTCAAGGAGATTCACAAATCAAACACTACCATATGTTTATCAAAAGTGACTCAGCTTGCAATCCGGCACTGTCATCCATTTACTCAAGAGCAGTTTTCCTATTAGGCAGTGGGCCACATGTAATACGCAGGCTATGGTCTTGGTTTGGAGTGAAGTCCCTTGGTCCAGTTAAAGTGGTTTATGTTTTGAACTGCATTTATTTATACCCACTGCCTTCCAAATCTTTTTATACACTGCCTACACTCTGCTGCAGCTCTCTGCAAGGAGTAGCAGCACCCACTCCGACATATATTAGCATGAGCAGGTCAAATCTTTCAGGCAGAAGGGCCAGAGGCTCTGAGGGAGGCCGTTAAAATACTTTGTTTAGCGCCCATCCTTGATGCAATATTGCTTTCCCCTCCGTTTAAGCAGCACTTCCCTCTTTGCTTTACAGCATACACGGATACACCCCTTGAGGTTAAGTCCTTCCCAATGTGCAATCCAGCCACTTTGGGCCCGGGTTGTCCCTGTCATGTAAAAGCGACACGCACATGTCCTGGCACGGTTTCCCAGCAAGTCTGTTTGACGTCTTTGCATATTATCTTCTCGTGCCCAATGACCCGAGGTGGAAAGGAGGGGAGGGGAGGGGAGGGGAGGGCGGTCTTGCTGATGGTGGGTATAGACCAAACTTTGCTTTTAACGCCACTGTGCAATAAACGAGTCTTCCTGGAGTTCAACGGTCGCATCCCACTCCTAGTAACTACATCTCTACGAGAGACGAAATCAAAATAATAAATAGCCATGACTGGAACTGTGGCAGCGGGGAGACAGTGCATTTCCTGGTTTCCTTAAGGGCACAGATCTCTTCAGTAACCCCTTCGATTCCGGGGCAGACACGGTTCGCAGGAGATCTTTCATCGCCTACACCCCCGCCCCCTCCTGGTAAGCCCCAGATGCCAGAGGAGTCGCGGTTAATGCCCTCCTTTGATCTCGCAGGAGCTTAACTTTATTGTCCCACACACACACACACACACACACACACAGGCACACTCACGCCCCTTCCAAAGGGCCAGCTGGAGCTGCTGCAAGCGCTGCAGTCCGATGGCAAGAGAATGCGAGGAAAGCAGAGAGAGAAAGAGAAAGAAAGGGAATATACAGCCGTTCCCAACCCCACCTTCCAAAAATGACAAGGCGGCGGCGGCGGGGAGGGGGGCAATCGCGTCGCAGCCAAGGCAGACTGGCAAGCGCCTGGGCAGATTTCGCGCGGCGCACGGTCCCCGCGAAGGAGCGCGGCGTCAAGCACTTACAGGATGGCTTCCAGGAGCGGCGGCGGCAGCAATATGTCTCCCTGCGCTCTCGCTCCCCTCTCGGCTCAGCCGCGGTGTGAACTGGAACAAGTAGACAGCCTGAGCGTGATGGCCCACAATGCACAGCGAAGCGCTCGTCACATCCCCTCCGTCTCCTCCCTCGGCCCCGCCGGGCCCGTCCGCCTGTCGCCTGCACGCAGCCGCGCTCGCCGGCCGCCTGGGCAGCCGCGGCTCCCGCGTCGCCTCCCCGCCCCCGCCCCGTCGCCGCTCCTGCGCACCCGCGCGTGGCACCGCGCCCCCCGCCGCATTTCGCGCGGAGACTCCCGCGGGTCGTGCCGCGTCCACACGCGCGCGGAGCCGGCCATGCTCCTCCGCGCAGCGGTGTTCGGTGTGAGATCCGAGAAGGGCAGAAGCGCTGGCCGCTGCCGCTGGCGGCTGGCGCGCCCCGTCGGTGTCTGGCAGGGAAAGCTGCTGGTTCCCGTGTCCGTGGGGCTTCTTATCCACGGCAGCTTTTCTTTGGAGCTCTCTGGGAGCTATCCCTGGTGGTGAATCTGCATGGAGGATGCGAGTCAGCACCATGGATAGCTCAAACGATCCCTTGCCATGGACGGCACTACTTCCTTGACCCTTGGTCCCTCTAGCCCAGTATGGTTTTTCCAGGCGATCCAAGATGTGCACTTGACTGGGTGCAAGGCAGGCAGCGCCTCCTCCGCCTCCCTCTCCTTCCTGTCCAGAGGCAAGGATTACTGTCTGCTTGCGTGCCCTCTCCTGCTGGACAGTAGCAAGATACGCCCTGCTTCCTCCCACCTCCTTTCACTCCCCTTTTGATGGCCTTAGCTAATGAGCTGGCAGCATTGCCCAGAGAAGGGACTACTGCTTAGCCTTGTCAGTGCTTCTCATACACAGGAGTGAGCACAGTGGTTCCTTTTCTGTTTAGGCTTCCCAAGTGCTGAAATGTGCCCCCTCTGGGCTAAATCCCAGGGAACCACACATTAATACCTTTCCCAGGACGGGGGGGGGGGGGTATGCCATTTCCCCTCAACTGCTCACCTTTCTTCCTTCAAAAACCACAAGGCAAGAACATGGGTGGAGGCCCCCAGTGCTGCTCAGAGAAGGTGAGCAGCAAAGTGGATAGAAATGCCCTCTCTGTGTGGCAGGGAACTTCTAGCCACACAGTTTTATTTATTGATTATATTTTTATTCCACTCAATAGCTGAAGCTTCCATGACTATTCAAGTCATAAAACACAAGAAGTTAAAATATAACTATAAAATATAAAAGATAACTATTTAATATAAATATAAAATAAAAATAACAGCAGCAGTACAGAGACTTAAAACACAGTACCAAGTTTAAAACAGAAGCTGAAAAACTGAATTCCCTTGGAAAATAAAAAGGGCTTTGTCTGGCACCAAAAAGAATACAATGTAAGTGCTGAGCAGGCCTCTCTGGGAAGGTGTCACTCATTCCTCAACTGGAGAGCCACAGCATTTTACCCAGGCAGGACTTTTGCCACCCTAGTTATATCCAGCTGCAAAGAGAGAAATCCCAGCATCCATCAGCAATGAGGAGCACAAAAGCAATTTGAATCTACCTTGGAATAAAGATTCTGTACATATGGACTGTACACATATGTTTGCATACAGTTCACACAGAAACCTTGTCATATTTCTTCACTGTTCTTGCCTTTTACATATCATTCCCTCTGGCCTAGGCAAGAGAAAATCAACTTGTTTACTCACTATGAAAGGCCTTTTGTTAACTCACCACATGGTACATGTGCAAGGTCTGGCCCTTTGAGAGGAGAATTTTACTTGGTTCATAAATAGAACTGGAAATGTGGAATATCAGAGATGTGGTAGAATGTGCACTTGTACCAAAGTAAGATTTAGCTGCCAATCTGTCTCTGTGTCTCAGACAAAATGCCTTGGGTCAGTTTGGTGCTAGTATTGTGTCAGAGCTAGCACTGCAGATGTCCTTGTTCCTTGTCTAATTTTTCTGTAGATTCATAGAATGTGGGGAGGGGAAGAGGACCAAGAAAGTCATCTGCTCCAATCCCCTGCTCAGTGCAGGACTCCAAGTCAAACCATCCTCCCGAATGGCTGTCCAGTGGCATCTTGAATGCCTTCAGTGCGGGAAAACCCATGACCTCCCCAGGCAATTGGTTCCATAGGCAATTGTACTGCCTGCATTTAATTTTTCAGGAATTCCCCCTCCCTCTGCAGGCCTTCCCTGAGGTGGCCCTGATTCTTAGGAAAGGCTTTTCAGGGAATAAAGGGTGCTGAAGGGTATGTGATTCATTTCAACACTTATTAGTATTGGTATATACAAGAGTTAATTGCAATGCATGAGAGGATATTTATTACAATACATCTACGTATGATTTACACTGGGGTGTTGAACCTTTTTTAGTGCAAGGGCTAGAGTACATTTTGGAGTTGCTTTTAGGGGCTGCATTCTAGTGGAGGCTGGAGCAGCATACAAAAATACCAGCATATTTTATTTTTAAGATCTTTCCCCAGAAACCAGCCTTCCATGAGGCACTTCCAACTTTTTGAAACTTCAGAAAAGTGGGACTGCACTAATTGGTGGTTGAGAAAAGGAGGAAGAGGGAATAGCCATCCAAGGGACCCCAGCCCCGAGCTTTTGAAATCTTAATTTGCACTAAGTTTGATGTGCACTTCCAACAGGAAAGAAACATACAATCGTACATTTGCCGTCCTCTTGTGACAGAGAATTAACTAAACTGGCAGGTCGACATAGTAGGCATTGATATGATTCTTCCAAAAACTGAAATGGTACTTATAAAATCAGAAGAGTATTGTGTTCATTATAGTAATCATATTATAAAACTGGGACTTTCCTGTAGGCACAAATGCTACAAATTTTTAAAAAATCAAAAACCAGAAATGTAAACTGTTACTGAAGACTAATGGATTGAATTCAGTCCATTAACTTATTTAATGGTGAAAAAGCTGATTACTTCACTAGTTTTTCATACTAATTTAAGAGGAAGAACTATGGAACAAATATACTACCAAGCTGTGATCTTGTTTGTTACAAGTGAATAGTGGCAGTTACATTTATTGTGTCTATTAGGCAGGCTCAAACTGAAAGTACCAGACAGATGTGTAGACCAGAGGAGCTTCAGAAGACACTGTCTTAGAGGACATCAGGAGTCCATCTGCCGCTGCTATACTTAACAGCATACAAAAGGGCAAGCATGCCAACTTTTCCACATAGAAGATTATTCTGTCTCAAAAGCTGAGCCTTTGCAGTAATTTTTTTCCAGAGCAAATTCTCAATTTTCTGTTGCGAGGTATACATTTTTCCCTTGATCAGGATAGATAGTGTTCAGGTTGGTGACTCTATTTCCTTTTCTAGTAGCATTTATCAACCAGAGCTTGGTGTAAAACGAATGCATTGGCCATTGAAGAATTCTGAGGACAGGGGTTTTATTTATTTATTTATTTATTTAAAACATTTCTATGCCGCCCCATTCGCCGAAGCCTCGGGGCGGCTCACAACATAAAATTAAAATATAAAACATTCAAATATATATACAAATTAACAATATAAAATAAGTCGCCCTGGCCAGATAAAATAAGCAAATAATATTAACAATTAAAATGACGTTTAAATAAAAAGGTCTTCGCCTGGCGCCGAAAAACAAATAACGACGGCGCCAGGAGCGCATTCCATAGATTTGGTGCCACCACAGAAAAAGCCCTCCTCCGAGTACCTACCCTCCTAATTTCTTTCACGGAGGGTTCCCGGAGAAGGGCCTTTCCCGCTGATCTCAAGGGGCGGGCGGGCATATATGGATGTAAGCGCTCCTTCAGGTAACCAGGACCCAAGCCGTTTAGGGCTTTATAGGTCATCACCAACACCTTGAATTGGGCCCAGACTTCAATGGGAAGCCAGTGAAGCTGACGGAGGACTGGAGTCATGTGAACATTTGTTCTAAATACCAGAACTGAATAGAATTCAGAGTCCCTTGCACTCAAAGTTCCATTCCTGATACCAAACTCGCATCATTTCAGCAGAGTCATTTTGTTGATGCTCTGGTTAAACCACTGGAAGTCAGCCAATCATTTGCAAATCCCTTCGAGATTTACCAGTGGCTCCTAATCTACCTTGTGCTCACCTCTACTCTAAACCTGCATAAACATGCAACTATTGTCTTTGCATGTTTACCATGTACTAGCAGCACATGTTGGATTGTTGTACTGATGAGGCTATTATTAACTTCCTTGAGTAGGCAATATTCCAAGTCATTATCCTGGATTGTCCTGGAGATGAGCACTTGAATTAAGGCAAGTGGCCTGAGTTCCCTAGTGGCAAAACCACTTCATAAAACAGATGCAGCTGATCTTGTGCAAACCACCTGATGCATCTTTCTTGCATCATTCACCAGTCCACATCGGTGTTACATCATAGTAGGAATGTAGAACCTCTGTTCCATAAGGACTCTCCATCCAGCCCATGGGGGTTTCTCCCCAGGCCCTGCCCTCTCCCACTGCCCTCCACTTTTCCCCATGTGGCTTCTGAGGGGGAAACAATGCTTATCTTTGATTTCACTGAGTAAAGGTAAAAGTGGGTTTCCTGCTCAGTGTTGGAGAAAGGCTGAACTATTCCTTTCTTCATGCGCTGAGAAGCTCAGAAAGATGAGACCTGACACCTGACATCATACCCTGGAAAGTAATTTGATCCTTAGGGCCTAAAAACAGTTCTCAGCTTCTGCATCACAGACATAGCAACATTCTTTATCCAAACCATCTGTCAATACCATTTGGATTGGGGAAATGCTAAGTACCCAAAAGATCCCAGAGGACAAAATAAAATGAAATAGCATATGCTAATTTGCATATACAATATAGTCTCCCTCTGTCTCCTTCTCCTGCTCAGTGATGTCTTTAAAGGATCTTGTATTCTATGGACATCTCTATTTGTAAAAAGGGATGTATGAACAGGGAGAGAAGGACATTTGCTTTCAGGGGGGAAAAAACCATAAACAGAACCCCTCAGGCAGAAATATTTGAGAGGGGGACAGCAGGAAGTGAAGCACCTGTGAGCAAAAAACAGCTAGTCCAAGGGATCAGGTGCAACAGAG